CAGTAGAAATGTCAGTTCACCTGAGAAATGTCCTGTCTGATAGTTGAAAATATCCCCCACTTGTTGCACCTTAATCTGTCGCGTCCTAGACGACAATCAGTTGTAGACCTTGTCTTTTTCACTGACCGATAGTTATGCAGATTGAATGGATCCCAGAAAACAGAATGATTAAATAAGATACAAATGTGTTCTGTTTTATGTCCGTCCAATAAAACGGAACATTATAGTACACGTTGAGATTCAAACCTGCACAAGAAGAAGAATAGTATGCATATATGTACTAAATTCATTGAATCCCACGCGCATTCTGTCAGTTGTGATTCAGGGTTTTGATTCTTGGTTTGAAGCGCAAGAGAAACACAAAAAGCACACATTTCTTACGAGTTTTTGTTTCTCCTTCTTTGTCTGTTATAACATCCTCAAATCTATCACACATTTGATTAGAATAATACTATTTAATTTACTGGTCTTCTGGCCTGATACCAAACGTGCATCTGGTTCCCGTGGTGAAGCCGTGACAAAATCTTGGCGATTAGTGTCGTATGACAGCCTTAGGTGTTGACTCAGTATTCACGAGTACTTCATGCCCCGGTGACTATAATCGATCACTTACAGGTATTGACGAAATTAGTGCAACACCCGGACACTTTCATCACATTTTTCCTCCCAACGGTTCATTGTTCCAGCCTCGTTCACAGGATTTGAATACCATATTACTACAAATCAAACGCAACGGATTCATACTAATATTCACCTACGTCTTCTGTTAGTTCAATGTCAATAAAGTGTACGATTCCTCGATTTCGACGATGAGCACCGGTGCATCAGTTGTAAACTAACAAAACCACATTTAAAATAAACAATAAGCTTATCCAAAACGACTCATAGACTTTGTACTTTCAGCTGGTCCATATTATATTTGCCCTTGTGCATTTTTGAGGACTGGAGGCGGTCACTTTATCATGGAGTACTCCAATTTGCTTATCCAACAGAATTTTCCAGTTACCTCTAATACATGTCAAACCCTAAAAACTGAAGCCCACTGTCGACGCAGCTAACTTATTCCTATATCTAACACAGGTGAAAGTTTTTACTGGCATTCAAGTCCCCACTGCTCAGTGGTATCAAAAACCTCCCTTATCATTGCAAGAAATTTTGCGGTATCCCGATCCGTATGTGCAGTAGACCAAAAGCAAGGCACTCAGTATTTAATTCCATTCCAACTTGTTAAGCGGAATGGATGTTTGCTTCTTTTGACAGGTCAGTGGATCAACTTTCTCCGTCTGCTGTAATAGTCGTAGCCAGCAGTAAGATAAACCCAATGTCAAACAGACGGACGACGAAGTTTTGATTTGTTGGTCATATCAATGCGTTCAATAATGGCTTCCTAACAGCTGCATTTCAAATTGGGCCATCATTTTCCGAACGGTAGCCGGAGGAAAAATGAGAAATCCGCCTGGACTTTTCCCCATATTCGTTGCGTACAACTTTTCTCAGCTGCGATCAAATTCAACTATCGTCTTGCTTCGATGTGATTGGTCTTCTCCCGTTTGGTTTATGTTTTGATGGAGAAATTCCGTTGATTGTACAACAAATTGGGTTTATTTTACGGCAGCAAGCCTGGATTAGCCCATTCGATTATTAGGAGGCACCAGACACTCTTGAAGGTCTTTGGTGTGGGTTTCACTCCTTGGGAGATCGTTAAATCCCCACTAAGTAAATGCATTCAAATGCGATGGAAATATTGTGACAACCGACGAAGATCACCGGACAGCTGGTTTGTCCTGTTTGGGACTCGTTAGCAGTGCGAAAATTTTTGTGTCCGTGTCAGACCATCAAGAGTGTTTGGTGCCATCGCATGTAAATTGGGCCTGTTTTTACACCGAAGCGCCTGCACTAGTCAAAACTGAGTCGTCGGATTTATATGCCTCTCGATTAGGTTGCCTCTCGTCTTCAATAATATGCCAACATCTCTTGAATATTTCATGCGGTTTGGGCATGGTGACACTACAAGACACTTATTCAACGAGCCGCACACCTCAAGGTCAAATTTCGAAGGTCAACTTGTATGTTTCTTGGATTATATTTTCAGTTGTTTAAGTATTGTGGATAATGCGTGGGTAGTTATCAGCCAAATAATTTATCAATTTATTGAAGGTAGAATACTTTCATTAATCGGCTTATTTACTGTACTCTGAATGAAAAGAGATAAGCAATTTAAAGTAAGCGTGTTCAGCGTAATAATGATGCTAATAAAACAGGAATCATTCATTAAAAAGAATTGATTTACATGTCACTTCGCATAAAGCATTTTCCACATCAGAGTTGTAACTTTCGGACTACCACAAATCTTGTCGAGACACTCATTGAAGGTGATAGAAGCGAACTATGGGCATAGAAGTGGGAGATAAAGTCAGGAATAAATGCACTTTACCCATGTTGCGTGAGTTTAGTCAACACCTGACGTTCGGAGACAAAAACAATCGCAGTATTTATGCAGAACTACTCCTCTCATTTATGCAGGCATATTCAACTGTACTGTACATTCGAGTATTGATGAGAAGTTGTATTCTCTCAAGGGTCGGGGGGAGGGGGACAAACCTTGTACCAATTTTGACAAACTGGGCATTCATCAAGCAGTGAAGAAACCGGCTCCAAACATATACAATGACACGCACTTGAACTCGTAGTAACCCTATGAACACTAAAACGGAGAAGAATCCACTTTCGATAAGACTTATTCCATGCTTTTGCCATTATTGCCACTTTATAATGTTATCTTCCTCAAAACCGTCCCCCATGCTTTCTCTGTACCCATCAATAAATTTTTGTACCCGACACAACTCAAATCTCAGTGTGATCGAAGTTTGGGGCAATTGAATCCGACTTATTTTCAAGGCCACCAACATCAGGCTTTGTATTTGTGTCCATGGCAATCGTACTCCGAACCCATATTTTAACTTTTCTTCATTTCATTTCACATCTAAAGTTTTACTTGGTCTACAATTTTTCGCTTCCTTATTTTGGTTTCCTCATATGACATTACATGTGGATCAGGAAGTTTTCGTAAAGAAAAAACTTTTCATCCTTGATCAACTTATCATTCTTCTCAAGGTCGAATACGTCCCCGGATGGAATAGTGCAATCATGTTTGTGGCATGGCCTCATCCACAAGGTTGAACTTGTTTGAACTTGTTCAGCGTAAACTCATTGTCTCTGATCTGTCCGCCAGTTCCATTCATCGACCTCATACACGTTAAGCAAGTGGTCACTTCTCGGTTTATTGTTCACCGGTGATTGCACAACGGTGTCTGTTGTGTTGGGCACCTATCGACTTGATCGCTTCTTCAATTTCATCCCATCGCTCAAAATTGTTAGATTTCGATTTGCAGGTGATTCTAAAGTTCTGTCCAACGGAGCACTGCTTATCCTCTTTTTTCTAAGAACCTCAGCATGGTGCAGCACTTCTCTTTGCTCTGTTGCTGCTCCACCAAACCTCACATTCTATAATCTTTCTGTACTCAAGCAAAGAAACAACACACTTTGTGTTCTTAGTGAATGCTTCTCTATCCCCACTGTATAGCTGACTTCTTGGTTATTAATTTTATGCCTCGACTTTACATGTCACGAAAAATGGGGTTTTTGAAAGGACCCGCAATAAATACTCAAGGAGCGCTCACGCAAAAACGGTCTGTTTTAAAATTTCCTTTCATCCAAGAGGATTATTCTTGAGGGTTTGATAAACTTTAATTTTCCTTAGCGGTTTCTATCATCACCGATTAACCCACCAGATTCATAAACCTTGCAGTCCAAGCCTCCGGGTTCGGTGATGGTGGTGTTGGTGGTGGTGGTGGTGGTCTGACCAACCTGGTAGCATTCCGCCTATTTGCAAGTACTGGACAGATTCCTCAGCTATAGAGATTACCGTACCGTGATTTCTTTGCCTCAAAAGCTGAACTCAGACAAGTATAAAACACCAATACAAATAGTGCCATATTTCCTCTTTATCCATACCAGGAAAAGACGCTCGAGGGGATACGAATATAACTGTCTCTTAGGCACTATCACTGAGGCAAACAGCAATTTTTGTATCTAGTGGGCATCCTACATATGGTTCATTAAACATTTTGTGTTAAATTTGAGAATTTCAATTGTCCAAACAGACCTTGTTCCTTTGTTTTAAAAATTTGATCTTTTGGTCTCCTGGACAATAAACAATCGTTTCTGTTTGGTAACGTTTTAGAAGCAGATCCGATTTATCAATCCTCCCTGCGATATAATAACCATTACGCGAATGAACCTAATCGGTGCTTTCTCTCAATTATCTGCCAAATTGATTATACTCAGAACTGGAAGACCAGAACGAAGAGGTCAGTGAACCAACAATAAGAACAAAAATTTAACATTCTGTTCTCCTGATTGTTTATGCGGTCAAAACATATAAACACAGAGATTCTGTTTCAGCGTGTTGTTTGTAGCTTTCTCATCCCTCCAGGTTAAACATTTTTCTCACGTGCTAATGATGCTAGAAATGTTTTTTTTGGTTAATAACCATCCCGATAATTATATGGTGGACGTTTGCCAGAATGAACGTATCATCTGGCATCAACATTAATTGGTTGTCCACAAAATGCACGCCGCTAGGGCAGGCAGGCAGACAGGCAGGCAGGCAGTGGAGACAGTGAGCATATCAACTCTAAGTGGCCTGCCCCCAAAAGGAGGCATTTGTTGGCCAATGATGAGAAAAAGGCGTTGTCCCATCTAAGCCGATGTGATCAAAGTTCACTGTATGGAATGAGTGAAGTAGAGTGGAGGGAGAGTAAATATTTGTGCGTATTCAAATCAAATGTACTATGTGTTTTATTGCACCCAAGGGCGAATATTCAGCAGCTTCCACTTAACATTGAAGATATGCACAAAGCATGCTTATCCAAACAGAAAATTATAACACAGATGTAACAGAGGAACTAGGTTAGCCGTACAATTTATTCAGAATAAATATGCTCGATATTATGAAGAAACCTAAAGAGTTATGTTGTACGGAGGAGTGGTGGTATGCTGTAACTCTTTACTACATGAAGATTTTATGGCGAACACACGTGATAGACGATGATGCACATCTTATAAAGTTATTGGGAGGAGGATGAGTGATGGTGAAACTGGATTTTGTCAAAAATCATTGATCTTGTGTGTGTGTGTGTGTATAGAGGAAGTATATGAAAGCAGAACAGGCCACATACGAGAAAAGATAACAGGGCAGTTTAACGTCAACGAGGTAACTTGCATGTATTTAGAACCAAGAAGCAGTGGTATAGAAAAAGAATCTATTTTGATGGACGGGGGTACAAAGAGGGCCCCGACTAGCGAACGAATCGAGAATGGGGCCCATCTAATTAGACGCGCAGATGTATCGACCGGAAGTACTTCGAGAGACAATGTTGACTACCACCGGAAACGAACGAATCGACAATTACTATTAATCGGACAATTATAGCCCCACAGACAATCCCTAGCTAGCCAGAAAGATATACACCGAATTCCACTACGTCGGAGCTGTCGATCGAAGTATCTTTTGCTACGATCGGGCGAAATCAGCCGGAATAGCACGCGGAAGAAGATGAAAACGTACGTGTCAAGTGCGGACCAAAACCAGGAGGAATTGACCTACACAAAGAGGCATAAAACACTCTGCCGAGTGGTTGAAAATTGTATGTATATAATTAAACGCTTACACCGGTTGTTTTTGAATTGAATCAATAAACATTTTCCCAGTCAGCTCACCTTCACGCTACAGTGGTGCAGTCGCCCAAGTCAGCACAACGCAATGAAGGTACCTTGGTCAAACGCGTTTGCAGACGAGATGTGGAGAAGTGGATTCGCGATTTTGAATTAATTGCATCATGCAACGGCATCAAACGGAGTGCGCATTTGGTCACCGCGTTGGGTGCATTGCTTTACGGACGAGCAAGGGCCGCTTACGATTTGAATTTGGGAAGCAACCGAGCCATGGATTATGAGAATTTGAAAGCTGCATTGGTGGCAGAGTTTTCAAAGGAGGATGACCTGCGAGAAGGCAATGAACCGGTTCTACGCTGCGGAGTACAACCAGACTGAGGACCCACTGGTGCACTATCAACACATAAAGCGACAAATTTCACTGGGCGAGCAAGGGCCGCTTACGATTTGAATTTGGGAAGCAACCGAGCCATGGATTATGAGAATTTGAAAGCTGCATTGGTGGCAGAGTTTTCAAAGGAGGATGACCTGCGAGAAGGCAATGAACCGGTTCTACGCTGCGGAGTACAACCAGACTGAGGACCCACTGGTGCACTATCAACACATAAAGCGACAAATTTCACTGGGCCTATCGGAGGCAAACAATGAAATACAGAGACGCTTGCCAAAAACCGGTTCATACAAAGCATGCCGGCATGGACGAGAGACAAACTGAGACTTGCGGTGGCGTGCGGGGTGAATGATGCAGACCGCCAAATTTCGATTGCGCAAGCCTGTCAACAAGATGGCGTGATTGCTTGGGTGGATTCTACCGAAACTGAAGATAAGATTGAACAACTATGAAGAAATTAGAAGACTGAAGGAGGAACTCAAGGGGGGATCACAAGGAAGGAGACATTTCAGGGCTCAATTTCGACCAAAGCGGTGCTTCAGTTGCCACGTTATGGGACATGTTGCCCGTTTTTGCCCGAACCACCACATTCGTTCGTGTTTTTCGATTTCTAATCCGACTGCCCGTGGGGTTCCAAGGCTCGAGGTTTTCATTTTGGGACGGTCAAAGTTGGGTGTTATTGATACGGGTTCCGAGATTTCCATTATGCCTCGGGTGGAAGGGGTTCCGGTGAAACCGTGCAATGTAAGCGTACGTGCAGTCGGGGTATGCCATTCTTGGGTAAACAATGTGTCAGTGTGCAGATTGGCGGGGTGACCGTTACCCACGAGCTGTTCTTGATCGAAGGTGTAAGTGAGGTTATAATCGGTGTCGATCTGCTCAGACGCGTGGGTGCGAAGATTGATTTCGTGGGAGGTAATCTGCTCGTGGGATCACAAGCACATGAATTAAACTCAGGAAAACGAACGCATGCTTTCGTCAGCGTTGTGGGAAAATCGGCCGTTCCGGATTGTTCGATTCCATGTGTTAAGCAATACGTTGAGAGGTATTCTGAATTGTTTTCTACTGCAGACGACGAGTATAGATTTTGTGATTGGTTGGAGCACAAAATAGCACAAAAAATGCCAAGAGCCGCGTGTAAACCTGTTTACCGAAGGATACCTCACAAGATACTGCCGGAGGTGGAGAAACAGGTACGTGACGCGTCAAAAGGTATTAGCCGTAAAAGTACCAACCCGTACTCGTCACCCGTGCTGCTCACTAGAAAGTCTGACGGTCCGTACAGATTGTGTCGACTTTTGAGAACTGAATCGTGTGACCATAAAGGACACCTTTCCGATGCCACTGACGGAGGAGGTATTTGAACAACTCCACTCTGCTCGGGTACTGTCACTAATCGATTTGAGGTCGGAGTATTGGCAACCACCAGTGGCAACCAGCGACAGAGAGGAGACAGCATTTTGTGTCAACGGGCCGCAATACGAATTTGTTCGGATGCCGTTTGGACTGTGCAATGCACCAGCCATGTTCATACGTCTGTTGCAACAGATACCGGAACCTTGGATGGTGTTATAGTGTACGGGGACGATATCGCTGTGTTCTCGAAGACACCAGAGGAACACGTGCGTCAGCTGAAAGCGGTGCTGGGGATAATCAAAGTGCAGACTTGAAACTCAGTGCAAAGAACTGGCAAATCTCTCGGGACACAATCACTTGTTTGGGTCACATTGTTGTAAAATTAAAACGTTGCCCGAGAAGGCTGAAGCAGCTGGGGCATCAAACGAACAAGAAGGTTCCCCTATCATCCACAGGCCAACGGAATGACTGAAAGGTTCAACAGAACAATGAAGGCAAGGTACGACAAAGAACACCAATCACAAAAGTGTCAGCTTTTCGAACCGGGAGAGTTAATGAAAGTTGAGAATCAAGGCAGACTCGAAATAACAGGACTGGGGCCGGAAAGTTCAAGCAGAGTTAGATGGGGCCATTCAATGTCCTGGAGAGGAAGAACGCCAGTTTTCGGATCAACCAGGTTCCTCAAGGGAGATGGGTAAATGGTAAAGAATTGCAGCGGTGGTACACCCGCGGCAACCATGTGAAAGGAGGGGCGAGTGTGATGGAAGGTGGTAAAAAGAGGGTCCCTGCTAGCGAACGAATCAAGAATGGGGCCCATTCAACCAGACGCGCAGACCTATCGGCCAGAAAAACTTCGAGAGACAATGTTGACTACCACCGGAAACGAAGGAATTGACAATTACTATTGGGCGGAGGAACTATCAAGTTTATATTTTAGGACGAACTGTAACTGTGCATCGACCATTAAACAAAATACGGGATGAGGACGTGGTCCTAAATAGATTTTTCATCTACCGTTTTATGGATATCTGTGTACGTACAACCTCATCTCTTCTATCGATCGGATAAACGCGATCAATGATTAACTCAAGTGCGCTTGTTTAAAATGTTACGCACAGCAGAAACCAAGTAATTCACATCAAAGCTGAGATCCCCATTGATGCAGCTAAACACACAACTCAACCAACAGGGTTGAATTTTGCACAGTAATATACATTTCAACCCTCCAAAACTACAAAATAACAGATGTCATGCAGGAAAAAAAAAGAATGATTAATGCCGGTGCGTCTATCTGCGCATATTAGGCTAAATATTAGTTAAAGCCTTGAAATATTTAGGGGATCGGAGAACCTGATCCGTCACACCTGCCTCACTGGATAGCTTAAGAGGCATCATATATCTGTTACATCTGGATGGTGAGAACGTATCATCGGTACATATGAATCAACCTGTTAGCAACTTGGAGCCAGATCGGCACTAGGCTGCTATCAATGTTGGCTACAACTGATGGGTTCACGTGAGAATCGCATGGCTCCAAACTCTGTGATTGTTTATTTCGCCTTGTTCATAACTCACTATGACCACAGATCTATACTGTGTCGGGAATCAGGGCTTCATCTGTCAGCATTACAATCTAATCCCACTAGCATCGCAACCACCCAAGAACGACTTTATTGGTAATAAGAAAAACAAGCCTTAGCATGTTGTATGGTTGCACAATTTTTCTATTAAAACGTGCATGCACAGGCGATTACAGGTGATTGCAAACACAGAACGGTTGTCATTTTACCATAAGTAAACGAATGAACGTTACTACTCAGTCTATATTATTCAAATAGTCCGGGCAGTCAGCTTACATGCTAACTGGTGGATGTCACATGCCTCTGTAAGTTGGATGGGTAAATTCGAATGTAGTCTATATGAGTTGCTCGTTTTCCTCTCCCGTTCAGTTCAAAGCCTGCTGTCTTTCATTTAACGATAGGAAAGCGTTTTGTAACCGATAATAAAAAATATTAGCAACAAATCATTTAGAATTGCACCTCTAGATTTTCCAGCGAAAGATACACTCAGTAAGCTTGTGGATTACTGGAAAACTTTTCTGAGGGCAGCTCATCTCCCCAAGTATATACGAAATCGCTTCCTTTTCGTCTATCAAAGCAATGGATTGATCTTCAATTGCAATATGTCTAAAATAGTTTGCCATGACTCCAAGTAATGCCCATTATTTGTTTCTATATGCTAAAACGGGAGTGGGGAGTCCATTCGAATGGCATACGCTGGCAAAGAAACGATATGTACAGAAGCGTAAGCGGTGTGTATCGTTTCATCACAATTCATCAAAATTTCAAGAGAGCATATCATCCAAAAACTGGGATAAGACAGAAAAATTCCCTCGGTTTCTAGGGTACAGTGATTGTTCGTTGGACAGTACTTAATGCCCATCTCCACTGAGATCAGCCGAAACAGGTAGTGGGGTTCGAAGTGATAGTTTGATGGCCTTTATCACTCGGCCACGACTGCCTGGTAACCATGATGCTGATGATCTTGTCATTGCTTGCGAAACACTACTGAAACAACTACTGAAACAATACTGATAATGATGTACTTTGATGATAAAATTTTCGAAAGAACTTGAAATATACTCTACAGTTTCGTTTTCACGGTATAGAGACCTGAATAGGAACGGTAATTGCTTTGAAGGTAAAGTCATTCTTGGGACCTGGTGAGGTTAAACTGAGATATGTAATGCCACACACAGCACGAGGCACAGAGACAAGATCATTTTGAATATAACCGGCGAAATGCTGTTCAGTTCACCCACTACTTGTCCGTGAATGCTCGAAGTAGCGATACGTTGCGTCGATCATTCTCTCGCTGGATTTTGATCCAATACCTGGCACACGCACAGGCCCGTACTCACACGCACAGACACACGTTGAGTCTTATTCCGACCTGTGGTCCTCACAATCTTTGTCTGGAGTAGAAAGAACATAGAAGAGTATTGATCATGAACACAGGTATGGCGTGGAGTGGAGAACTGTATCACATGATCAGACGATCAATAGGAACCAAAGGCTGGATGGATGTGGACATAACCACTCCTATGAAGAAGCCACTAACCGAAGATTGGACACTATCCGAAGTCTTTTTACTGTGTCTGTACTTGTTTGCACTGAAGTCAAGTCAGTAACTCATAAAAGCTTCAAAAATTACGACCATGGAAAGGAAAAAACTACATGCATTCACAAGTGCGGCATATGGCTTGGATAAAGAAACCTTGTTTACCAGAGCGGATTTCTCGCCGATCTCGGATACTGAAATTGACTGAATTAGACATTGTGGTGGGCGGAATCTGACTTGAAAAGTTGGCATTTATTCACACGCCAGCACTTGATTTGTCACTTCAGCCTGCATATTTGGCTAATATGCCCGCTGTCGGAGCAAATCGTAGGTTTGAGTGCATCCAGTGTATGGCATTTCATGAATTTATTGGATAACGATTTGGCACAGCTATTTTGGAATGACGACCACAGGGCACCTTCTACCTAACTGTCGTTTCATTAACACACGAGCGGCATTAAAATAAAGCGGCTTTCATACGGATTTCCATGACTTCATGTGTGTACTATGT